TCATATTTAGATGGAAGCAAGACAAATTTCTTCACTTTTTATTTTAATACCCCTGATCCTAGTCATTTGATCTTGATTATATAAAACAAATTCAACAACGAAGAATTGACTTTTCTAAAAAAAATGTAATGTTAGAAAACCAATTCTGAAAGGGCTAGGTTATTATTTTTCCCAGTTTTGTGCTTTGCCAAATTTGTGGTTTTCTCTCCCTATGAACCAGACAGATTATAGATTTATCATAGCCTCTTGATTTCTGGTAGATGGCTTTTTAAAAAAATTCTGATGTAATTTATTTTCTTTCCACTGATTCTGTCTCTTAAGTATTGAGTTAGAAGAGCCTTAGGTCAGCCTTAAGAAGCATTTTTGTTTTGTTTCGATTTTTAAAATGTTCCTTTGCACAGATTATTTCTGACTTTTATTTTATAGTCATTAATTTTAAAACAGTAAAATTCTCCGATTTCTGTAAAACAAATTCACAGAAGTAACAGCATTCTTTGATAATGAATAAAGTTCCTTTTCTTCATGATTAATTTTAGCTTCCCCAAATCTTACAGTTGTGCTTGTATTCACTATTTCTTTGGGGGCTTCTTATGTGATAATTCAGATTCTAAAACTTTCAAACTAATTCCACAGAGCACTGTGATTTAATATAGCTTCCATGTCATATGTGCTTTGAACTGGAGATCAAGGGCAGGGGATATATTGCTTTTATTTTTTTCCTGCAGGAAACTTAAAGGAACAAGACATGTGCATCTAATTTATAGATTTAGACTAAAATTTAATAAAATATGATACTGTCTATTTTTTAAGATGCAGAGTAAAATTCGTCTATTTGTATTGGGGAAAATGCCTCTGATGTATAGATTGGTTTCTATTCATATGTCACCTTTAGTTAAACGCAGAATTTACTATGTTTTTGAGTGTTCTAGCATCCCAAATGGACTTGGGTTCTCTTTAGAAATATCATCTATATCTTTATATTACATCCACTCTGTTTCACTACTGTGCATTTGGTAGTTCCTGTCTCCTCTTACTTCTTTTTTAATCTCAATTATATTTTCTGGTTTTGTTTTCTAATTCATTGCTGTGTAGTCCTGACTTCTAGACTTGTAAATAAAGTAGAGTTTCTGTATGGAGGATTATAATTATAGCTGTGAAAGATGCTTGATGATATTATAAGAATGATAACAAGGATGACAACAACAAACCATGTGCTTTGTGCTTTGATGATTATATTAGAGATATCTCATTGACCCTTATCAAATGAGATGCTATTCTTAATTTCCATTTCATAAATCAAGAAACTGAGGTATAGAAAGTAGTTAAGTAATTTGTGTAAAGTTATAATGCTCTTAAATGGGAAAGGCAGAGTATGAAACCACACATTTCTAATTGCAAAACCCATGATTTTAATGACCGACATTTTGTCTCTTTCAACAAAAGAGAAAACAGAGAACTAGTTGAAATTCATATTACATGTCACATAACTTAATAATGGCAGAGCAAAGCAAGGACTGAGGCCCAGAATCAGTTTTTCATGGTTTCTTCCATGTTTGACTTCACCACCGTGCCTGGGCTTACAGAAAGTGATGACTAAAAGAGTGGTCCTATGCCAGGGTAGGAATGTTAATCATGACGGAAAAGTGCGAAAGGGCCTACTAGTTTAAGGGGGGATTGAAGGCTGAGGGAAACCTATGGAATGTGTTCTTATCCCAGAACCATGACTGTATCCTGATCTCGATCTGGTTTGTTGCCGAAACACCTGACAATCCTTTGCTCTACCAACCTGACATAATTTTGGGGGGACTAGACAAGTAGAACTTTGGAACATCATAATAATGTCTTATGAGTTGATGAATATAAAAGTTAAATATAAAATAATATAAAAGTTGTTCCTCTCTGTGGAAATGATACTAGCAGTCAGGAAAAAAATTACATTGATCTTAAAGTATTTAAACAACCACAGATGCAAAACAACAACTACAAAGGTAAAATTTGTTTCCTAGGAAATTTATCTCATGGAAGTGGGGACAGAAGCAAGTGTTCCAGCCTTGTCATGCCTTTGTTGTGTGACTCCCCACAGTTTAGATTTCACTCAGTGCTCATTCATTCAGCAAACATTTACTAAGAATGTTTTATCTTCTAAGTACAGGGATAGAGTTAATATTTTCCCATTGATGTTACCAATTATGTGTTTAATGAAAAAAAATCTCATTATTTACTGAGCATCTGCTAACATGCAAGGAATATGTGAGGTACTTTTCATGCATTATCTTATTTAATCCATGTGGCATTATCATCTGTCTTATAGCAACTTGTCTAAAATTCTACAGCTGCTGACTGTACAAGTGGGATTAGAACTCAGTTTGGTCTGACTCTAGAGGCTATTCTACTTTTATTTTACTACCTAGTAGGAAGCTCAGGATCTAACAGAACATTTTCTTCCTTCTCTATTTTAAATTCTATTGTTCAATGGGTTTTAGGAATCTCAATTAATTTTTACTAATGTTTTATATTAAAATTCAATTTTATCTGCCTACAACATAGTAGAGGTTTAATAATTATTTGTTGGAGTTTCGATTCATGATGATTACTTCCTTATACTTTTA